CCCCCCCCCTGAGATGACCTGCAGTTTTCTAATACAACTAGTATTTTGCAAAAAAAAAAACTATGTGGTTTATTGGTGTTGAAGTACAGCAAGAGACGAGTGCACCCCCTCCTAAAAAAAATCCTGGATCCGCCCCTGAACTCATACACACAAACAATGTTATGAGCTTGCAGAAACCTGCGTTACACTATAACAGCCGAAAACCGTAGGAATGAACTCCCATTTATCACTCTGCTTTATATTCGCAGCGTTAACATACTGGGGGACTTTGGATGGAAGAACCGCTTTATGGCCAATGGTCTCTATGCAGTTGCTTTGAGAGACTTAGAAGACGGCAAACCTTGTGTGACAAGCGTGACAATAATTTTGTTTGAAATAACTTTTCGCCAAAATTCACTTTCCTTTAAACAGATCTTTTTGTAAAAGACCAGAAAACATTGATGTTAAGTGAAGATCACGACAAAACACGTAAGAAATAGCCTTGTCACGTTTGTCACACACGAGCGTTCTGCCGTCCTCTTCTTCCTGCCGTCCTGTTGCGTAAACTCACTGTTACCAATCACGACGGCAACGGCAGCGACGACGCAGGTCATCAACATCATCATCGTCATCATCATTGTAAACTCTACACACATTTCAAAAGTAGGTTGAGTATGATCGCCCATGTGAACGTAGTCCTGAATAGGACTGTTGTTGTTGACAGTGACTGACGTTTCGACAACCTGGGCGGTAGTCATCTTCAGGTTCAAAGTGAGTTGTATCACGTCACAGTTGATGGTATTAAACTCTGGTTATTGACCTGATTGGTCAATTAAGTCGCGATGTTATTGGCTATGAAGACTCGTAACGTCATTGGTGCGTTCCGATCCGTCTATTGTCATAGTTAAACAGTTGTTTATTGTTAGTCAAATTGTCAGTAGTCCAGTCGTTTTCTCGTAGTAGGTTCTGGTTGATTCCATCAATAAGTAGTTTGTACGGTGCTAGTAGCTGTTGACGACCAAAACCATCGAGACATTTCACATTTCGGAAGATACAAAAGGGAGCTTATACACCAGTAAAATATCGATGCTATTACATGTCAGTTGTTATTTGAATTTTCTAAATGGCCTGGGTTAGCCTGCGAAAACGGCCGCTTCTCCTCATTCTTCGCCGCTGAGGACGTTTCGTGAAACGTCCCCAGCGGCGAAGAGCGAGGGAAAATGGCTGTTTTCGCAGGCTAGGCCTGGGTATTAAATTTCGCTTGCTTTTAATTTCGCCATTTTTTACAACTGCCACAACGAGAAATTAGAGACCCGGGAAATTAAGTACCAATAAGGTATGTCACCGTTGGTGGCGAGTCGACTTCTTGGTGGCGAGAGTGACTGGATACCCAGTACCGGAAATCCAGAATCCAAAGCGTGGAATTCAGAATCCAAGACTTTCTTGGATTACCTTACAAGGAGCGATGTGTACCTTACGACGACTGGGGATTGTTTAGAATTTAATATGAACAAGATTCTCAGTTACTCCGGCAGCAATTGTCACTCAAATTATACTTCTTTGCCATCGGATTTTTCCAATCTTGGACAATGACGGTCACTAGTCAGGTTTACAAAGGTAGAAAATGCACAAACCAAGTACAAAACACCAAGGCACAATGAAGAGAAAAATATTATTAAAGCCCTACAATTTCTATACATTTTTATGAATTTTTGGGCTATATAAATACTTTTTATGCCTACAAAAAACTACTAGTGTGAAGTATCAGAAAATTGTACTAACAATGCAAATATTGAAGGATAATCCCCTTTGAGTCAACTTGATACATCAAAAATTCGATTTTCATATACATTCGGTTCTTCCTTCCTCAAATACATTGTTCATGTAATATCATAAATTTCTCCAGTCTAACTAGCATCACAAGATTGTTCTTTCAAATGTCTTTACTCTTGTTATCTTTCCTGTCTGAAAAATCGAAATAAATGCAAATTACTTTGCATGCAATTATACCTTTGCTGTATATACTGAAAATAAAATGGTTTTTTTTTAACAGCTTCTCCAATAACCCATAAATTCTACATTCCAAATACCCTTATTTTCAAAATACAGGCAAGTGCGAAAGCTTAGCCTGCAAACGGCAGACGTTTCTCCTCAGCGGCGATGAGCGAGGAGAAACGTCTGCTGTTCGCAGGCTAGCAAAAGCTTCCCATGTATTTTATATGAGTGATATCTTCATGAGCATAATAAGGAAAATATTGTCATATTCAAGACTTGCTTCCAACATGTACCCTCATTTTGAAAAAAAGGCTAGGGACAATCACAAAATATAGCCTACTAATGGGACCCTCTTGGGGGAGGGGGTGGGGGGTATGTATGTCCCAAGTCTGATTTTGAAAACCCGTTGTTTCACATGTTGAGGAGGATGAGGAGGATGTTCCTTTTTGGTTAAACATGACCATGTCAAAAGCACTGCTCTAAGTAGAGCTGCACTGATAAAAAGAAAAAATAAAACAGCACTTAAATATTGTTTTTGAGTTTTGATTGATTCCAGTCTGTATTTACGTTCTTTTTTTTATTTTTATTTTTTTTTGAGAAGAGATGGTGGAGGAAGAATGCCTGATACATTTTTTTCATGAGCCACCACTGCCCTTCGCTTTGAAAAAAAAAATACTAATACTGGTAGACCTGTTATCAAGGTACCCTATCAAATATTTTGGTAACCAATCAGGGAAATTGAAAAACTAGCACAAGCTTATTTCTGTGATGGGGTTACATCAGCTGGATTTTAATCAATGTTATTATCAGCCACAAAAATAAAAATAAAAAAATTTAAGCTAGGAAGAGTATGTTTATCATGGGGATCAGTTTTTATGTTTCATTCAAACACTATTTGCAAGAACCGCAGCCCTGCTATCATCAAACCTAACCTCCAGCCAATCAAAACTGAACCATGTCAGACATATAGTCTGGACCAACCAGAAATAACTCCAGATTCTGGCTTAATTACATGTGATCTGGTAATTAAATGTATCATGCCCTCCTTCCCACGTAAGATATAATGGAGATACAGTGGAACCCTGCCTTACGACAACCCCGTTGTCCACTTTGCTAGTACAACTATATTCTTTCGACCCAAACATAAAAATCACCAAGTCATTTTATTATTTAAAAGACCCCTTTAATGAAACCACCTCATTATTACAACCAGGATTTTGTGGCCCAATGATGCCTGCACTAATGCAGGGTAGACATGATCACAGACTAGCCAGAGAGCACTCCTCCCTCTTAACTCGGATCTTTATCCGACACTACTATAATTATTACTGTTAAATAAACCTTTCCATAAGTTTTTTTTCACTCATGTGGTCTGAAGCCATGCAAATGTGTTGGAACAAAAGAAATTTTCTACAAGAGAAAAGAGTTCAATCCCACAGGACTTTTTCTGTACACCAACGTTTCACTGTTTTGTACATCAATATAATTTGGAAGAAGGAGAATTCTACCACCAGAAAGCTTAGAAAAATTCCATGCTCCAGCACAGTCAAGATAATGTCATGAGAAAAGGATCTATGACACATCTAGAAAAAGCATTCTGTTAACCATGTTACCTTTCTTGTTTGAATCCTGTGGTGCTATTTGATGAGTATGAGGGGTGCAAATTTTGCCTTTGATGGTCAGTTGGACGACTAACGTCTGAAAAAAAGGTAATAATGAAGCTTTTTTAACCGTTGCAACTAGTTATAACTGAAGGTTAAGGACTGGGGGCAACAATGATCAAAGGTCAATTTTACTCCATTGCTGAGGTTTGTGTAAGTTTCCCAAGATACATTTGTGTAGATGGTGAAAACAGACATGGTCAGATCATGAGTGATAAAAGGTGCAAATGTGCATGATCAGATTGCATTCTGTGAATTTCATTCATTCTTTACAGAAGTCCAAAGGAAGCTGGCTACATACAGCTATTTCGAGAAAGGTTGTCAGTAAAAATGTGCACGCGACAATCCCAAAAGGTAATATGGGATATGATCAATACGCTGTTCTTGACAATGTAGCTGTCAAACATAGGTTTGTTGCTTTCCTTTAGCACTCCCAAACATATGTCCATGGCCTCTCATGCCATTCTTTCACATTTCTTTGAAGAACAGTGAATTCAAAACAACCCACAATGCCATTTGGGCTTGTCGCGTGCACTTTTTCCGACAACCTTTCTCGAAATAGCTGTATATGTTGCACACGCATAATAGCAACCTGGAGATTAGGAATACGGGCTCCTCTTGTTGCCTGCTTTGATAACTTTGAATTTTGGAGGCATAAGTTACATGTAGCATCCAAACCTGATAAATCAAGTTCTTCATCAGAGCGTGGATCTTGTATCTCAGTTAACAAGTGTTCATCTGCATATCTCCTGAAATAAATGTACATGTCACATAGAATGTTAATATAATAATCAATAATTCATAAAGAAAATACAATGCGAATTAGTAATAATTACAGAATGGAATGGTGTCCAATTCAGTCTGTAATCATAGTACAATTAATTATACACCGATTGCTTTAAGAAAATCAAACGGCTCAGAGCATGCATGTAGCAAAAGTCCAACTTGTTTCATCACGAGTATGATTGCAGACTGAATTGGACGAAGTTCTGTTACTAACATTAATCACAACTAAAACAAAATTTGTAATATTTATTGAAGGTTTTTGAAAACTAAACCCCAAGATATTCCAAGGCATTTAATTGGCTAGAAGTGAAAAATACCATTGAGGTGCACGTGCCGTGGTGTTTACTGTCTAATAACTCAGGCATGACACATACTGTCCTAATACATGTATGCTGAAATCAGGACAGCTGATGCAATGTAGTTAGCCAAAATTCAGATTAGAGAATTTTGTTACAGTTGTCAAGGCTCAATTAAACAAGAAAAAAGAGAAGGCCTGCAAAAAATAGTCTGACCAGGTCTCCATTCTAGTCAAGAGACAAACAAGAAAAGTTGTGGTACATACATACATCATGTTGACAGTCAGAATATTTTATCCAACCACAAAAAGGAATTTATTTGACAGTCAGTTTTTGGTCAGGTGATATCTAGTGGCCAACTTCTATTTGCAGCTCTGAAGAAAATTTTGGGTGCTTGAGGGCATGCACAGGGTTTGAAAGAAAGTCCTGTCCAGATGGGAGGAAGGGGTCAGGGCACAGCTGTGCCATGTGAAAAGACATGCTTTTCTATCTAATCGGTTGCTGTCTTCTTAACATTTTTCTTCTACAATTTTACTCTTTCTTCTAGAGAATCCTGATATCAGCCAAAACTCAACATGCTGACCAAGACTCAGCTGGTATGTTGACCAATCCTTCATTGATAGGCAGCCCACATATCGGTCACCCGGGTCCAAGAGGTTTTTCTTGAAAGTTTTCTCCATGTGTGGTGAAGAGTGATGTTACAATATTATTATTAACACTTGACACACCTCATGCACATAATTTATGGGAATGGTTCCCTCCAAAGAAAGTCCAGGCAAAAGAACCATTGAGATCAAAATTACTCAGAAAGACTATTACAGGATTTGTAGAATCAAGTGAGGAAAAGGAGAGCTTTGCACCATGGCCACTTAAGATACATAAGTGAAAGACTCTTCGATGGTAGCCAGCAACTGAAATATCATTGACTTCATATGGCTGGTTGGCTGTACAGAGAACACAACCTTGCCACAAGACTGCAAGCAAGGCTATACTTTGAATGCATGCTGAGACTTTGAACCTCTGGAAATCACTCCTCAAGTAGCAAAGCCAACATTCCGTCTAAGATTCCTTTGGGAACAGAATCCAGAAACACAAGCAAATCTTGAATTTGTATGTAAAACATACATTTTGTGCAATTCCCTCTGCACCATTTTGCAAACAATTTCTCTTGCTTGTAGAGAGAGGCAAAAATGACCTTAAGAACTGCAATGAGATATCCTCACTGTCCCCCCAGCAATTCTAATTATGACCCAATCAAATTTATTTGCATGTTTGTAAGAATATCAACCAATCCATGCCCTGCTGTGTGCATGAAAGTGAGTTTCAAGTCGAAGGTAATAAAAGTTTTTCTCTTCTTTAGCCTGCGTCAAATATCTGCATCAGATAAAGTCAACGTGTAATGCTGACTGGCAGAAATGACATTAGTAATAACGTCATTAACCTTGGCACGTGCTTTCGCATGCTCATTCTTTTTCACACTGAGAAAATTTTCCAGAAATTTCTTTGGGACAGGGTACATATTGGCTGACACTTAGTCAGTTCCATTGACAGTTGGCAGTCTCCAAACCCCACAACTGTTCGATACCATGAACTGTTGTGGGCATATAAGTTAACAGCAGTAACGCTGGACTGTTGGTAGTATATTGCGTATTCTTAAGTAAAGTTACTACTGAATACTCAATAGTCTGATTAATTAGTCATATTAAATTTAAAAAACTTAATTTCTTATAAAATTATACATTATCACCAATGTAAGATTTAAGCAATTTGGGTATAAGACAAGTATCAAAGCCTTAAATTTTCCTGATTTTTTTCCTAAGGCTTGACATTAATACATAATTATTTTAATATAAACAATAGGATGTGATAAAAGGCCTTTCAAAAATTCTTTTCAACACAACGTATAGACCCAGGAGATTAAAGATTCGCCCAAACACATACGGTAATAATACGCAACAGAATAAAACACCTATTTAGCGTTTAAAATGATTGTTATACCTTTGATTACGTATTTAGGATTCAATTGCAAGTGAACAATGCCGTACACAGCCTATGTAAGATCAACCTGTACTATTAAAAATCAACACCAATTTATAGGGATTCTCACCATCTGCTTTTCGGAGCGAACCGTGTAAAGCGATCGTAACCTCGCTTTTGCCTAAAACTAAAAAGACCTCCATCTTCGGTTCCAAAACATTGGCCCATCATGAATGATCACAAAGAGGTGTATATCTGATGATGTCAAACATCACAATCAGGAAGAAAAACAGTTCTAAATTTTGCGATGACTCCTCAGAAATTTTACGCGAGTGCAATATTCCCGCTTTGTTTGTTCAGAGACCGTCCCGAGTGGGGAAGTGACGGAAATATTTGCCCGCACGTGAAGGGAAAATATAGACAACGGCAATTTAAAAAATTAGCCCAAGCTTTTTACCCTGATGCTAACCTTTTAACTTGAATTCATGTAAGTCATCAACTACAGTTTTCATTTTCGCTAAAGGCCTAGAGTACATTCTCCTTGTGCACGACAACCCTTCCCCAGCGGAGTTCCCTAACCTTTCCCTACCCTACCACAGTTGATTTAAAAATCCTTGGTAACCGCTCCTTCATCTTTCCAACATGGCGGCTCGTATGTTTTGCAAATCATCGCGATGTACGTCAAATCTTTGTCGCTATTCAAGGGAATCTAATGGATTGAGAGGTGTGCTACTGTACTTTGATATTTTGTAGACTTTATAGCTGTCTTAAAATTCTTGCACGGTTTCATACTTCCTTTCGAGGCCGGATTTTTATTCCTCTTGCCACTGTCTTGCTCACCGCTTTGTCTAGTCATTTAATTGGTAACCCAAACCTGAAAATAATACTCCATTTAATAGGGGGTGTGGGGGGCGGGGCGAAAGATTTTACTAGAAGCAATTCGTTAATAACCGTACACTGCTTTGTATAATAATAATATTGTGAATCTGCAGTATTGCATGAAATTCAATGGCAGATCCAGGGATTATTAAATTTTTTATTTGAGGGGTCCAAAGTTGTACCTTCTTGGATGAGGTCTGGAAAGAACCACGCAAGTTACAGAGTCCTGTGGTTTAGTGCAATTTTAAATTTACCACTTTTGCTCAATTTTGTAAACATTTTACAGGGCATCATTTTCAGTGCTCCCCACTGGTATAATGTTACATGTATGTGTACACATGTAAATTAACCTACGTTTCTTCTTACATTTACATGAGAAAACAATTTCAGCTTCAAAGCAGATAACCATTAAGTCACTAAACAATTTATTTATCTGGTCTGTTGGGTGTATTTAGAGGGAAAGGGGGGTCTGAAAATCCCCTGAATCTGCCACACATCAAGCTTTCATTTTACTATCATCAGGTGCTGTTCCACTCCGCAACATCTCGACATCTCAGCTTTGTCTCAAGAAGACACCCCATACAGTTGGTGTTCCTGCTTGGGCTAAGGCAGCAGGAAGGCGGAAAAAGGTTTTGGCTAGAATGGAGAAACCTAAATCAGAAAAACAGATCCATGCAGAGTTCAACTTGGCAAATGATCCCACAGAACTCAGCTTGTACACTACAACAAGGCGTGGTCCATTACCAGGGTATAAAGAAGAGGACAGCCAAATAGACAAGTAAGTTAGAGGGATTTGTCTCTTTTTTTTTAATGTATTGATTGTTGCTGAAAGAGCAAATGATGATCTTTGTTAGAAAAACGTTAAAAACGCTGGTCTGATCGGCGCAAAACCGATCGATATCTGACAAAATTTTCCCTCAAAAATAACCACAAAATCGACCTTTTTAACCGATTGATTTTCGGCGAAGTTTGCCCTAAACATTCCCGCGAATTTGCCCCTAAAAATCCTGCGAAAATTGACTTTTTTCCGCTACCTATCAGAAGCCCAGCATAGTATGGCGCGATCCATCAGATTTGAAAATATCATGAAGTCGGTATAAATTTGGGGGTAAACTGGCTTGGTTTATGCATTTTGACACATTTTTCATGATGAAAGCAAAGCAAGATAAGATGAAATGTTTGTTTTAATTTTACTCTTCTAAACTCTGGTCGCCACTTTGGCGACTAAACCAGAATTTTTAGTCACCAAGGAGAAAAATTATGTTAGTCGCATTGGCGACCGTATCAGTCGCAATTTCAAGCCCTGATCAACAACTTGACGAATCACACACAAAGATTAACCTTAGCCTTCCCATGCCTACATGTACAGTGTATGCTTAACATTATTGGAAAAATACCTGTAAGACACCTTGCAATTCCAATGCAATGCCAATGCAATTCTCATAATCACATAGACAGGAAAAAGACTTGATACTCCTACTTCATTGTCTCTCTAACATTAAAATTGAGCACTAGCAACATACTCTGTACTAAAGGGATTAATGGCCTGGTGGACCAGCATCCTGTCAAGATCCCAGTTGTTCAAAATGTGGATAGTGCCATATACTGGATAAAAATTACTATCCAGTGAATAAAGCAATTAGATTACTTAATACTTATCCTCTGGATAGCAGGGTTTTCATTTGAGGCCGGAGGCCGGACGTTTCGTCCGGTCGGTGGCCATTCCACGTCCGGTACTTTGAGATCAATATTGGCGATTTTTTTTTACTACTGTATTATATATTTTTCTTACTAAGGCATCTCATGAGCATACTGACTAGAGGATAACAGAATAGTCAATTACATTCTTCAAAACGGCCATATAACTCTTTTTTCTTTGCTTATTGAGCGGCGGGATATTTTATTGGTTTCCCCTCTTCATTTTAGTGAACGCCAAGAAAACATTCACGTCCGGTGCTTTCAGAAGTATGTCCGCTACTTTACAAAACAGTTGAAAACCCTGGGATAGTGATTTATTCAGCAGTGGATATACATGTAAAGCATCATCCAACTTTTGAACAACTGTGGCCTGAAGCAGAAGTAGGAGGAAGGATTAGCGCAGTTGGTTAGTGCACGGCCTTCTTTGCAGGAGGTTCTGAGTTCATTTGACAGGCGTAACCCCCACTCCTTCTTTCAACTCCTCTCCTTTCCCTGAAGCTTTAAGTAACTTTAAATACTCATAAAACAGAGCACTGATGGAGAGAGGGGAGTAAAATGAGTGTACTGTCGGCCTCAGGTTTGTTAGTGAAATGACAATTTCCAGCTACCAATGTAAAATAAGTAAGGACTCTTTAGCTTTACCTTTGTACTCCTAGATGCTTCAATTAGTATTAAGTACTGATACGGTCACGGTGATAAGCTCCAATCATGTGGGCATATTTTGCTTCTTGGGCAATTTCAGTACATTTAACTTGAAAATGAAAGATTTGATGCTTAAGCAATAATAGTATACTCATCCTTTATGCTAAGGATTTTGTCAATGTGTTATGTTATTATGTTACATATGTATTTTTTATTCATGCAGACCAAAGATAACCATGTCAGCAGATAAAACCATGTTTGTTTGTTATCATCCTGCCAAACCTTTTCCTCTGCAATTTTCTAAGGTACAGGTGGACATAGATCCATTTATTGATTGACTATAAGAAAGAGCATCCAAAGGGAATTTTTTGTAACATCACTCTCCTGTAATCTTTGAGGTATCCATAGACCAAAAATACATTGTAAAAAACCAACGGCTTTAATTTCCAGACAGGTGGAGAGCGAGGAGGGAGTTGGTGGAGGTAGGGATGGGAATCAAGTAATGTAGTTATTGATAAACCCCCTCCCCTCCCCTCCCCCCAGGAAAAATTTTATAGGCAAGGCATGACTGTTTTCAAGGATAACACAAACAAGTTAATACCTCTGTACCTCTGTACCTCTGTACAGTACCTCTGTAAGTCATTAATAAAAATGCCTTATCTTGAATCAGGAATGCAAGTCTCGTATCATTGTAAATAACTGATGATTAGCTGAAAAATAATTACATTCTCTTCTTTCTTGAAATAGCACATGTATACAAGTTAATATTAGTTTCCACCACCCCTCTTTGACATTAAAGTACTCTATGATCATCTTGATCAAGGGATGCAAGCCTCATACCAGTGTTAATCAATGAAACATTACTAAGGCCTTCTTAGGCATTGAATTTCAAAATGAGTCGTTTTGCGTACTAAAGAGGAGGCCAAGTCGCGGGCATGATGTTACTTTTGTACAATGTATTTGCAATTTTCCCCTGTACTGTCGCAGTTTTAATTCATCTTTATGTCCTTTTTCACCATTTTTCATCTGTCTTAATATCTTGCTGTTTCAAGACCTCCTCGCTTGTCAGAAATTTACTCTAACAGGGCCTTGTTAATGTGTTTCTTCTTTTGTTCATAGGAAGTGGATACAAGGCACTGGTGGCAAAAGGATGGAGATCATGTCAACAGATACAGGGACAGTCTGACTGATGAGGAGGTACATAAGAGATTATTTCTCATCCAGAGCCGAGTTGTTCGAGGGCTGGTTAGCACTTAATTTTAACCCGGGTCTCTTTTTCTTTTCATCAAAAGCATTTTCTTGAAAAATTTTCTCTATTCTTATTAGAGTAGCTAATCATCAATAAAATTGTAGACAAAAAGAATTAAACTGAATTTGCTTTTTAAGCTTTCATATCTGAATTCGAGTTTCCTACTAACCCTGGGTTATCTTAACCCTGCTTTGAACAACCCGGCCCAGTCAAAAATATGTGGAGAGACTTTCTTAGTGAGTGGACTGTGTAGGGAACATCAAAACTACAGGTTTTATGCTAGAAATTGGCCAATGAGGGTCAAATGGGCCCCCTTCTGTAATTTTAGGTGGCCCTTTTTCAAGAAAGTGGGTCCCCCAAAGGGTATTTGAACTTATTGGTACAGACTGTTCCATGAGAAAAGGAGTGTTTATCGACACTTTACTGCCATTTTGGAACATTCTGAGCAACTGAAAAAGCCTGGGCTCAAATTACTGCAGAATCCCAGATGTTTTGTCGGGTGAAAAAATGAATTGCTCAAAGTTCAAGGTAAGTTTATAGAGCGGCCGTCAAATCAGTGTTGTTGTCATTGATTTTTTCAAATACTTTATTTAAAAAAAATAGCACTTATCCTTGGGTCTATTTTTTGCCTCCCATTTGACGCGGCAACGTAAATTTTATGCATCATTTTCTTCCAAATTGTGGAAATCCCGCAAGGCCGAGCTCTAAAATAAACCCTGAAAACTAATCAAATAAAGCTGTGAATGGACAACATAAGTAATGC